AACCACTCGGTTGTACTCCATTCGGATGTAGAACCACTCGGTTGTACTCCATTCCGGTGTACAACCATCAGCCATCGGCTGTCGATAGAGACAGTCATCGGTTGTCAATCGACCAAAACCTACGAAGGTATCAACTCGGTGAAGCCGGAATTTTTGAAGAAAAATGATTGAAAAAAAACTTTTATTGCTTCGTTTTAACAAGAAATTGGAAATTGAGAATTTACAAAAATTTCAGTCTACAATGAATCTAATGGTTCAGTCCACAGTAAATGGTTCCGGCGAATGTTCTTTGTTGTTTTCCTCCTGTTTATTTTCTTTCCCGTCATTCATGAAAAACTCTTTCATAATTTTCATGAATCTCTGCATAGATTCTCCCTCGCCACTGCTGCTAGGACCAGGTACGCCACTGCTGCTAGGACCAGGTACGCCACTGCTGCTAGGACCAGATAGGGTTGACTGAGTAGCTGGCGGTAGTTTATGTGGGGCAGACGGTGGTGGTGGCAGGGGATACCTACGGAAATTTGAGATTAAGACACAACAATAAAAAATTGAGAACTTACCTCCTTTTAGGGGCCCAACACTCTTCATTTGACAAAATTGGCCTCATTGCTTGCTTCCTGTAAATGATGTTTGTAAGGAAAGAGCTTTAATCAGCTTTGATGAACTCACCTCTTCCGATTTCCGGGATGTTGCGGCTGTGGTAAAGGTGGTGGCTGCGGCAGCGATGCCTGATTATGTTTACTAGACTCGATGAGATTCAACAGAGAGCGTTCATCGACAACGAAACAGTCCTCGCGTGGGATAAGAAGGGGCATCAGATCTGCCATTTTGATATGGACTTGGTTCATATCCGCCATGCTGAAATCCTTCATTGAAAATTGTTTTGAGCATCGATCGGGAAGGGGGGGGAGGCCAGGGACAGGGGGGGGGCAGTGGCGCTACCCCCCCTCCGTCCCCGACCCTCCCCCGCGCCACGCCGGGCGTCCTCCCTCGAGTGCACCGCACAATGAACTGAGACCGAGTGCATCCGATCGGAGGTCTCTAAAGCGCGCGGCGTATACTTCACAAGCGTTAGGCTTGAGCTCTATCTCTGTTTGTGTGGTCAGACAAACAGAGATAGAGCTAAAATTGCAGAGTTCACCTGCGGGGCTGGGAGTTGGCACAGGGGGGTAATCGAGCATGCTGATTACGAATACAATATTAGTTTTTGAAGATATCCACTACTTTTATCGATTTTATCGATTTTTTGCAAAGTTTGAGCTACAGGGCTGGGAGTTGGCACAGGGAGGGAATCGGGCATGCTGATTTCGAAAACAACACAGAGAACGGGAAATAAAGTGTAGAAGTGGGCACAGGGAAAGGCCATACGGGGATAGGGATGGGATCTTTACAGTGTTTTGAAAGCCCCGAGCGGAGCCGGGTAAGCAAGCTATTGCATAAGCACCACAACTTCAAGAACAAAAATGAAAGGAAGGAGAAGGCAAGAGACAATGACGAATGAAAAAAAGGAAAGTAAAAATTGGAGCTACCGCAATTCACCTCTCAATAGGACTTCCAAGTTGTTTCGTAGAGTCATCCATTTCAACCAGATCGTGTGCTCTCACATTAGTCTGAATACAAAAAGAGAATTAAGTATACGCAAACAAGGTAGCTGACGTTGAGAGCAAAAATCGTAGAGATCGCTCACTTGATAAATCACGAGATTTTGGCCATCGCTAACGATAAAGCAACATCTGCAGAGAAAAACAGATGTGTAGTACTCAAGATGTCAACAAACGAAAAGGCATACCTGGGCAAATGAGCTGGTATCCAGGCTGTGCGTACACAGCCAAAATGTATAGGACTGACAATACGCGCGAGTTCCGTCATACCACCACTTTTGCAAAGTGGACCTACAGAGCAAGTCCTCCAAAGAATCACTTCAGACAACGATTTCCTCTGGAACAAAGTGTAAAATCGGAAAAGAAGATAGAGATAGCATGACTGACAAACAAAAACTTACAGCAATATCATCAACTCGACTACATCGAGACTGAGATACAGTTAGTACGAGAGGAAGCAAGGGGTGAGCGACAATCTCGGATTTCGCAGTTATGAAGAAGGAAAAGATGAGATTGTCTTAATGATACCTGAGTCACACAAAAGCGATGCCCACACATTCGCAATTTGTGGGTGATGTAGCGAACTTTGGCAAAATCAGTGTTTCCATCCATGGTCATGTGCCATAGATTGAGAGAGCCATTCTCGTGATTGGTAAGTAAAGCTCAACCCCAAGAACAAGCTGGATTTCGCAAAGGATTCAGCTACATAGACCAATTCAGGCGGTTGTCATAGAAATCTGCCAGAAATACCAACTGCCTTTCGTCCTGACCTTTGTCGACTACGAGAAAGCCTTTGGCAGCGTCAATTAACGCCATTCTGTCTGCGCTAGTCGATCAAGGAGTGGATCCAGCTTACGTGAGGACGTTAGTCGACTGCTACAAGGAGTGTACAACGACGATGCAGCTATTTCATCGCTGACCATCCCAACCGGAAAGAAGGTCCGATAAGGCGACACAATCTCACCGAAGCTGTTCACCGCGCTTGCAGTGGGTGATGAAGTCACTGGACTGGGACGAGAGAGGCATACGAGTTGATGGAAGATTTCCATCTAACCTTCGTTTTGCGGACGACATCGTTCTCTTTTCGAGCAGTATCACTACAGCAGAGACGACGCTGGAACTAAACGAAGTAGGGAAGAAGATCGGACTGCGAATAAATCGGAAGAAGACTCAGTTCATGAAGAACGCCCTTTGCGAAGATGCAGAAATGGAATTGGAAGGCACCCCTATCACGGAGACGTCTTCTTACGTGTATCTCGGACGTTCGATGAACATGGAGAACGACTTGAGGGAAGAACTTAACAGGAGAAGAAGAGCAGTCTGGGCCGCCTTCGGGCCTCTGAAGGAAGCCACCAACTGACGGACCCGGAGCTTCGTGCCCACCTGTTCGACCCAACCCTTCTTCCGGCGCTCTGCTACGCAGCTGAGACTTGGGCTGACACCGTAGCAGTCGAAAGCTCTACGGACCACCCACAGAGCGCTCGACCGTAGTTTCTAAAGATGACCCGACACAAGCAGCCTATAGTCGATTTCGCAGTACGTATATGAGAAGAATGTCCCGTTTTCGTGACCCAGCGGAATACGCTGCGAAAGCGAACCGCCGATGGGCCGGTCAAATCATGAGAAGAACAGACGACAAATTGATACTAAGAACATCTAAGTGGATTCCTCGTGAAGCCAAAAGTTCCCGAGGAAGACCACCAACGAGATGGACAGACGTGTTCGTGGAACGGATGGACCAGCTGAGAAGGATACATTATTGCACCTGGAACTCGTGGTCGCAGCCACCGGCGGCAACCAAGAAGATCGTGGATGTCTGAAACGAGGGACAGGGACAAATAGCAACTTTTGTGCTGGGGCCCGCACACCACGTGAAGGCAGGCCATCTAACAAGGAACGCTACCTAACTTAGCTTGGCCTTTTGGCAAGGGGCATATATTGGGTTGCTCGGAAATTAATGCCTGTTTTAAATTTCAACCGCAATAAATCATAAACTTCTCACTTCTAAATAGGTTGCAAAGTACCACTCGATAGAGCAAAGCATGCTCTACACGATGGCTATCTCGTCTTTGCACCAGCTCTCATCCACCTCGAGTTTCAGCCAAAAACTAAAGAGACAGCAGCCCGAAAATTCGAAAAAAATCGTAACTCAGTTCATAAAAATCTAACGAAAATTCTTACTTGCTCACGTAAACACTATCCACATTAAACATCTATATATGCCTTTGCCGTATATTTTCCTCTGTTAGAAATCAGAAAAACGGAAATTTTCGTGCATTTCCCAAACTGATGTTTTGCCGTCCCCACATAGATAGTTGTATACTACAAACCTGTAGAAGTACAAACTCAAATTCTCAGATCTCTACAAGCTTTAGTTCTCAAGAAATTTGAATTTTAGCTTGGACCACTCAACTAAGGAAAGCTGCATTTGGTATTTCTCGAGAACTAAAGCTTATAGAGAGCTGAGAATTTAAGTCTTTACTTTTACTTACAGGCTTGTGGTATACAACTACCTATGTGGGGACGGCACAGCATCACTTTGGCAAATGAAAAATTTCCGTTTTCTTGGTTTCTAACAGAGAAAATACGGCATAAGCGTATATAGATGTTTTATGTGGATAGTGTTTACGTGAGCAAGTAAGAACTTTTGTAGGATTTTTATGAACTGAGTTACGATTTTTTTTCGATTTTTCGGGCTGCTGAGTCTTTTTAGTTTTTGGCTCGAAACTCGAGGTGGATGAGAGCTGCTGCAAAAGCATGATGGCCATCTTATAGAGCTTGCTTTGCTCTATCGAATGGTACTTTGCAACCTATTTAGATATGAGAAGTGTATGAATTATTGCAGTTAAAATTCAAAACGGGCATTAATTTCCGGACAACCTGATATATTCTGAATTAGCTTCAAACGCTGATTCCAAATATGCTATTCCTAGCTGCCGCGCACCATTCCGAAGCGAGTTATAGACTTTTTACTTTGCAAAATTGGCACACTACTGACCATGGGAAAACTGCCTGTAGATAAAAATCTGCATGAAGAAAGTGCTGAGGCATCGGAATAACACAACCCAGTCTTTTCTCGCTAAAAAGAAACTCAACGCAAGTGTATTAGCAATTAGATGATGACGCCGATGTCAGTGAGTCGATGCGTATGCCAATTTTGTGCAGGAAAAATTCCATAACCCGCTTCGGAATGTTGCGCGGCAGTTAGGAATAGCATATTTAAAATCAGCGTCTGAAGCTGATTCAGAATATATAGTCCCTTACTAAAAGGCCAAGCTAAGTTAAGTAGCCTTCCTTATAAGTATCTAAGTAAGTAATGTCGCAAAACCCTGAAGCGGTCGTCCTAGCGGATGTTGTCGTATTTTGAACTGGCTTTGAGGTTCTGTCTGCCAGGCTATTGTTGTTCAGCCGGCTTGAGTTGGATCAACAACTAGTAGTGAATGTGCATGAACCATTTGCATCGAATCAATCGGCTAACTCCATCTAAAGAATAAAACAACACGACTGCCTCTGATTTGCCAGAAGTAGAAATCCTTCTAAATGGGAGCCCTTTATCAACAATAAAGTCGCTGCACGAAGAAAAGTTTAAGATTATTTCTGCACTAAGTAACTTTGATGAAAACCATTGATTGTCCACTCCCAACCGAGATCACAACTTGAACACCATCTTGAGTATGAAAATCGATCAGCCTCATAGAAACACAGCTGTGGGTATCTTCAAATAATGTAATTCTCATCTGCTCTATCGACAAATCTGCTTCATAGACCTCACTGTCGCGCTCAGCTCATCGGACTCGAACCAATACTGCTGCAAGGACTGCTGCAAGGCGCAGTTCGGCAGTAGGACATAACCATTTTCGTCATAGCTATGTGGCACTGAAAGCACAGGAAAAATTATCGCCTTGATGCGTGTGAGCTTTCTTGATTGTAGTCATCAATCAGAACAAATTTTTCAACGGACGTGATCAGGAGAAGATATAACAGCCCAGAATCGTGAGAATGCGGCTACAATGCGCCAACGAGATACGAGGAGATAGGTTGACACTGTTACGACTTCCTTCCGAGGGCATGCGGACGAGCCGATACCTACCTTCAGCTTCATTCCGCAGATGAACATTGCGCAAAGGACTCGAGCACGTATTGCCTCAAAGCGCAATACGTGCAGTTCTGCAACCGCTTCCGCAGCAACAAGGAGACATTAAAGGCACGAGATCGACGTCTCGCCAAAATGCGCGCTGCTCGTCACCAACCACGCCAGCCATGTTGGGAGGAGGGAGACGAAGACCTAGTGCAGGAAGTCAGCACATTTGCCCTTTGCAACGTGAAATGGACGAGCCAACATGTATTTCATTACCATTTTGCAGATGCACACTGCCCAGAGATGTCGACCGTATCAGAGCAATTTCGCAGACGCACATTGCCATGGCCAAGAAGGACCAGAGCTATAAGAAGAAGATTTGCCTTGCATATAAGTTACCTTCATTGTCGCCAACACCAGCCGCATTCCAAAGGATACTTTTAGGAGAACGCGATAGAGCAGTCTAGACAACGTGCAAGTGCTGCAGCAATATGTCAACGACGATCACAGGAGAAACAAGAGCAACGCACATTATAATGCCACCATTGCCTCCCAGCACCCCGAATTGAACGGGCCAACACTTACCTCCATCCCCATTCCACTGATGCGCAGAACTTGAGCACATATTGCTGCAAGGTACAGTTCCGCATCTAAGCGTGATATTTTTCGCTGCAAATGAGGATAGGAGAAAAACGTTGTCTAAAATCGTCCAAGTAAAGCGGTGAGCATATTTGCGACAGCTCACTAATTTCTTGTTCATCGCAACTCGCTGATCATTTGAAAATACATAAAATCCTAAACCGCTCCTTGGAAATTTGCCAGGGTCCCGGACAAAAAATCTTTTTGACGGCCTTATACGCATCTTTCTTGTGAAAACGGCAAACATTGTGTGCTTTGATTTGCTCTGGAAGTCGCAGTGCATAATATAGTATAATTTGTGGCTATAAGAAATTAACAAAGCAAGAAATTGCATGCTAAGAATACAACACATCAAGAAAGTATAGCGCTAATTTGTGAAACAAAGATTCAAATTGACGAGGAAAATGACACGAAAAACAAGAATCTACTGTTACCCTATCTGCACTGTGTTGCATGGAAATGAAAGCCTAAGAAAGTTTTTGGGTAGAAGAGACTAATTCCTTTGAATCCTGATGGGTAAGATCTTTCTACGCAATGCTAAAAGATCATCTTTACTTTGAGTGTAAAAAAGCCGCTTGTTAATATATGAGATCTAACTAGAAAAGCATCCCAAGCAATAGGGATCCGGAACGGAATGTATCATTAGGTGCGTCTTGTTGAGCTGATTTCAAATCTACTTGCCATATCTGCTATGGGCTTCACTGGAAGAAGTTATGAATGGTTGAGGGTTTGAAGCAAAAGTTAGCATACCTTCATTGATTACTTGTTTATAAGCACTTATTTATGTTCCTCATTGATGTGCTCGTTCAACTGTAGTCAGCACAACCTAAGACCTTGCCAATTACGCACTTCCGAGCTGATTTCAATGCGCATTACGCATTAGGATCCCAATGTCTTCTCCTAACCTCTCATAACTTCTTT